TGAGGTGCTGCTGACCTGACCATACTCAGACTGCTCCCTGCGTCTGCCATTGCGGAAAGGGCAGCCCAGCTGGACATCAGGTCACCAGCCCCAAAGCCAGGCTGCTCGGCGAAGGAACGAGTACACACAAGAGAGCACCAACGTTGGCCCCTCTTTTCAATCTAGGCATGGAATATCCTGCGAAAGTAAGTTTTATTCCTTGAAATGCCTTCAGTTTTTCTCTTGGTATTTTTAATTCTGTTGTTTGAAAATGTATTTTGCCTTGCCTTTTAAAGATGTACTGAATCATATGATGTACAGACACTATTCTAAAGGTTTCACATACATTCGTTTATTTGACCCTCCAACCATTGTACAAAGTACATTTTATAATTTTCCAAATGATAAAATTGAAGCACAGAGAAATGAAATGACTTGACTAAGGTCACACAGTAAGTAGCTGAGCCAGGATTTGAATCGAGGGATCTGGACTCCAGTATCTGAACTCTTAAAACAATGAGTCGTGACAATCCATCTCTGAAGACAGTGGATCACCTTCCTAGGTGAATTAGGGCCTCGATTATGTATATCAATTTGTATTTGATAGTCGCAGAAACTACTACACAATTGTGTGTCCATCATGCCTATCTAGTATATTTTTTACTTAACTTTATCTGCTTTTTTTTTTTCTTCTTTCTTTGTTTTCTCTCTGTGGAAAAAAAAAATTTTTTTTTTTTTTCAGAATACCTATTTCTAGGTATCTTGCCTCTAGTTATTCTGCTCCCAATTTCCTAAAAACCTGAAACCAGGTCACCCTACTTGTTAGAACTGCTTCGGAAACGAGAGTCATGGGGTGTTGCGAGAAGACCCCAGCCCTTGGTGAATGCACAGGTGACATCGTGGCAGGGAGGGTTACTTCTAGGCATGCTTTCTGCTCTCGGCTGCGGTCCAGACAGTTTAGATGGCTCCTTCTCAGTGAGCCAGGAGTGACAAACACAAATTCAAGGCATTTCTACGCTCCCACCTGTTCAAAGGGGGTTAGTCATCAACATAATTAGAAGGATGGCCTTGTTCCTCAAGCTTCTGGGTAGCCATCTGATGCTTCGAAGTAGAGAGACGTGGCTACAACTTGTGTAAAAATAGCCCTTCCAGATGGCCGAGGGGCAAAGTTACAACTCAGCAGCTTGATATAGCTGAGCACTCAAGTTTGAGAGCAGGAGGAGAGCTATGTGAGAAGTGGCCAGAGACACTGGGCTGGCATCCAATCATAAGTGGAACAGTATATGCCAGGAGAGATCACTTAATGTGGCAGATTAGCTGTTAAGACTTCCTGTTTACTTCATCTCCCACTCCTCCCCATCTACCTGATTCAGCCTTATCTCTTGGCCTCTGGGGAACACACACACACACACACACACACACACACACACACACACACACTTTTTTTTTTTTTAAGGAGTATGAAATAGAGGTAAAAACTCTGAATCTTAGAGGGCTTTAGAATTTTCATAGCCCAGCTCCTTGTGTTGGAGATAAGCAAAGAGACACAGAAAGGTGAAATGAGTCCTTAGGCTCAGCCGGAGTGTTTGTGGGACTCGGTTGTTCCAGCTTCCCGTCCAGGGCTCACCTTCCAGCTTCTCTGGGGGACAGTGTGTGCAGTTACAACAGGCCACATCTCCTCCTGCTCTGCCTCAAATCATCCCAAACCCCCAAATCCCTGCGTGCTGAGGTTGCACATACAGGAATTGACCAATGAATGCATAAATAGGTGGAACAGCAAATTGATGTTTCTCTCTTTCTCCCTTTTTGTCTCTCTAAAATCAATCAATAAATTAAAAAAATCAAAACCTCTAGTTTTATTTTTTTTATTGCTGTTGTTTGTTTTGTTAATCCTCACCAGAGGCTATTTTTCCATTGCTTTTTGGGGAGAGTGGAAGAGAGAAAAACAGAGAGAAACATCTGTGTGAGAGAAACACATGGATTGGTTGCCTCCTGTATGAGACCGACCAGGGCCTGGGCCAGGGAGGAGCCTGCAACTGAGATATGCCCTTGTGGGGATCCGAACCCTGGAACACTTTAGTCCGAAGGCCAATGCTCTATCCACTGAGACAAACTGGCTAGGGCATCTGTAGTGTTTTTTTGTTTGTTTGTTTTTGTTTTTGTTTTTGTTTTAAGGCCATGGAACTATTGCAAAAACCATTCCTTGAAACAAATACTAAAGCTCTGATGGATCACTAGCTTGAAACCTGTTTCACAAATGAAAATATTCACTGGTCACATACTTCATTGAATTAAAATATGTGTTTTTCATATTTCCATACCTTCTAATCACTGCACTTCTATTGGATATTCTGGAAGAAAACTTAAGCCACTGTCTGTAGTAAATACATCATTTTACATATCTCAGTGTCTGTGTAAATAATCGAGTGTTGGCTTTTACAATCACAGTAATTAGGCCGGGCAGTGTTGTTCAATAGTTGAGCGTCGACCCGTGCACCAAGAGGTCACCGGTTCTATTCCTGGTCAGGGCACATGCCTGGATTGTGGATTCAACCCCCAGTTATGGGTGTGCAGGAGGCAGCTGACCAATGTTTCTCATTCATCACTGTTTCTATCTCTCTGTCCCTCTCCAATCTAAAATCATTAAAAAATATCACACTAATTAGGAATGGGCTAATGCTTATATTTATCAGCAGTTGTAATAGACTCTATTATTTTTGAAAAACAAGCAGATACTGCTCTCCTAAACCCATTCCTGACAACCCAAATCCAAGGCAGTGCTGTGCCCTGCTGGCAGTATGGCCTCATTGCAGGCAGGTGACAAAAGGTGGAAAGGTTTTGGTGCCATCCCTCCAAATTCAGTTCTACAATAAACCGACTCTGCAATACTATTAACCTTACATATTCTCACACAAAGGGTTTACAGGTAGCAAAAACTAACTTTTTCTAACACAATAGAATTTGTGCTTCCCAGGTGAATACTGCTGCAAGGTAGTATGAGATGTTTCTTTTTTTAATCCTCACCCAAGGATATTTTTTTTCCATGGATTTTTAGAGAGTGAAAGGGAGGGAGAGATGGGGGAACATTTATGTAAGAAACAACACATTGCTTGATTGCTTCCCACAGGCAACCTGATGGGATGGAGATCAAACCTGCAAACTGGATACATGCCCTTGACCAGGAATTGAAGCCCAGACCCTTAGGGTGAGCAGGATGATGCTCTAACTAGTGAGCAACCCCAGCCAGGGCAGTCTGTGACTTTTCTTTCTTTCTTTTTAAAAAAAAAATATATTTTATTGATTTTTTTACAGAGAGGAAGAGAGAGGGATAGTTAAAAACATCGATGAGGGAGAAACATCGACCAGCTGCCTCCTACACCCCCCACTGGGGATGTGCCCACAACCAAGGTACATGCCCCCGACCGGAATCAAACCTGGGACTTTTCAGTCTGCAGGCCAACGCTCTATCCACTGAGCCAAACCGTTTCGGCAGTCTGTGACTTTTCAAAAGAATGTTTTATTTTTTTTCCTTCTGAGGGATTCATCCTCAGCCTTCATGCAGGGTGGGCTTTGTGCCAGGTAACGTGTGGTGCCCTGGGAGCAGGCAAGGAGGTGTCCACCCTGGTGGGCACATGCTATTACAGCCCCACATCCTCAAGCTGCTCAGTGACGGAGCCTGCTGATGATGGAGAGCTCACCGCGGAAGACAGGAGAACGGACAGGGACAAGCACTTATTGATTGTCCATCAAGTGCCCGAGCCCACAATAGCCCAGTTAGAGCTGGCTGGAGCATGCCGGTTATATGGTCAGAGTTGATCTTGGAGTGAGTATGCTCCTTCCAGTCCAGGTCTACCTCTCTCCCTCCTCCTGCGGTGCAAGTGGAGACCCGGGGTGGCGCTGGCCTGGAGCTGAGCCCACCTGATGAATGGGTATGGCCCACATTAAGAAGGTAAGTCAGCCGAAACTGGTTTGGCTCAGCGGTAGAGCGTCGGTCTGCGGACTGAAAGGTCCCAGGTTTGATTCCGGTCAAGGGCATGTACATTGGTTGCAGGCATATCCCCGGTAGGGGGTGTGCAAAAGGCAGCTGGTCGATGTTTCTCTCTCATCGACATTTCTAGCTCTCTATCTCTCTCCTTTCCTCTCTGTAAGAAAAATCAATAAAATATATTTAAAAAAAAAAAAAGAAAAAAGAAAAAAAAAAAAAGGTAAGTCGGAGTATGATTTTCAACACCTTTATTAAGAAATATCAAAAGTTGGTCACAGTTCCATACACAGTTTTACAAAGTTCAAGTGAAGGGGAGCGTGGGGAGGTCACCACTATGCACGTGTGAACACGAGGGCAGCTGGCCAAGGAGGTAACCGTGTAACTCCCGTGTCCACACCATGCCCTTCCCCACTGCCGCTAGGTCACAGCACAATGAAGATACTCCAAACTGCTTAAATGCATTATGAATACTCGTTCAGCATTTCTCCTTTTATTTCGTCATCTTCCTTCCCTGAAAAAGCTGAGCTGTTTACAGGAAGCCCTCTTGAGCCCCATTCCCTGCTGCTGTTGGCATTGCATGCTCACAAAGCCTGCTTTGAGAGTTGCACAACATTGCAAGAATATCACACTGGGGAAAGGACCCACACACATTGCTATTTTTTTATGTAAACGCTAACAAAAAAGAGGGATCACGCCACTTAGAAATAAAACACCACAGTCAACCGTGAAGCATGGGACTCGCCTGCCAACTCCACGGAGGTCCTCGCAAGGGGCCAATGGCACCGCCGAGAACAATTGGATGCAGGGAACTGGCACAGAATACAGAGAGGGATCTTGTCGGGGTGGTACATCACGTTCCTTTGTCAGGGACATTGCATCAACGGGGAATTAGGCTTTCCAAATAATCGGGGCTAGTAGGTCACTGGCACCAACGGGAAACAGCGACGGTGTGGTGTGCCTCAGTGAAGGCTTGTGCTGGGTGATCTAGGAATGGGTTTCCGAAGCGATGGTCCAGAAACATCAGAAAGAGCCGTCTTCAGAGGAAGGACTCCTTGTTCACCCACATGAGGCTGCGTGTCTCATTGGGCTTGCACTCATACTCGATGACCGAGAAGGGGCTGCCCCACTGGCAGTGATCTCGCTTGTGGTAATTGTAGAACTTGACTTGCCACACCGTCTCGAAGGTCCCAATGTCCGTGAACTGAGGGGAGAGAAACACGCCCCGTAAAAAGCCCATTCTCCCCTGAGCACCAGGCAAGAGCTAACGGTGGTAAGGTCTTCCATCATCCAGGACAATCAACCAAGACTCTTTGGGTCAGCAAAGCTTAGATCTTTCCCGAACTATCTTCTTTTTGTACGGGAGATACTGTCCTGAAAAACTGTCTGTAAACCATCCCCCCCCCCCCCCAAGAAATCTTATCCCATCATGTTGGTGGCATGAGTTATTATATTGTCTTTAATAAAAATACCTCCACAATATGTATCCATTTTCCAAATATAATTTCTGGGAACCACTCTTAGACTCTGAGAGTTTTAGAATTTGCCACAGAAAGGGGACTGGGAAGAGAACAGGGAATGATGTCTAATGGTTGTTCTTTGGTTTCTATTTCAAAAGAGAGCTGTCCAAAATAATGCAAGCACAACATAAGATATAACTGCCCTTCCATCATCAATTTTAATTCCAAGAAAAACGATGTTATTGCAAAGCATTTGATTGTTAAAAACCCTACTTTAACTTTTAAATATTACTACCTACTGTTTATAAGTCAAAATTTATGACCATGCCTTAGGCTTTGATTATACCTTATCAAAACCATATTTGAGTACCTATTAGGTGCTTTGCACATATAAAAATTTGTATAAGGCATTGTTCTAACTCTCAAGAAGTTTGCATTCTATATGCAATATTATAAACAATAAAGAATTTTTTTTTAAAGTTTGTATTCTACTTTTAGAAGGTAGGTCCTGCAAGTCACTGCACAGAATTCCCCTGAACCATAAGCCCATGATTCTCATGTCGCTAAGAGGACACAGAACACCCCAGAGGCCACCGGGCAGGTGCTCAAGTGGCCTGTGGGGTAGCCTGACCCAGCTACCACCTCCTGGAGCTATTTAGGGGATCTGGCATTAAACGGATGCCTATCGTTATTTTATCCTCTGACCCTCCCTTGTCATGGGAGGGGACAGGGACTGACTTGGCAGGATTCTGAGACATATCAGAAGCCAGAAGACAGAAAGGGGGAGGGCAGTGAGACCGAGGAGCCTTATGCTTGTGGCTGCGACAGGAGGAGGGCGATCAGGTGCTTCCCAGATAGCTTTCAAGATGCTCTCAAAATTATATCCTGCACTATGGCCTCACCCTGCTCATTTGACTCCCCAAACAAAATCTGGCTTTCCTTTGGGCAGTTTGCTTGACTTGAAAGAATGGAGGATAAACCTAAGATCCATAAATCTACTCCCAGGTAAGAAAAATAAAGTATCTCTGTCTAGAGAGTAATGGCTTAAAGACCTATGCTTTATCCATAATGGCCCCAGCCTGGGATCATTCAGCTGATGACAGGCAATATTTGGCACATCTATCAAATGGCATTTACTCACCAACAAAGGGAACATACTGATTCAGACAAGACTAGATCTGGACCTCAAAAGATCTTTGCTAATCAAAAGAATCCAGACCCCAAAGAATACATACTGTATGATTCTATTTATATCAAACTATATCTATATATTATATAGCGACAGGATATAATGTAAGCTGAGAGGGAACATCTGTGGTTATCCGGGGCCTGGGGTGGGAGGAAGGGGTGATGATTGATGAAAATGTGCAAGAGGGAACTTTTTGGGGTGATGAAAATGTTTGATTGTAATGGTAGTTATAGAAGGATATGTATATGTTTGTCAAAGCTTACTAAACAGTGTGCTTAAAATGGTCATATTTATTATATGTACACTATAACTCAAAGTTGATTAGAAATATTGCTTTTTAGTGTGCTACAAGGAAACAGCTATTCTAAATACTGCCAATGGGAACTGAGTTATATAGCCTTTGGAAAGGTAATTTGTACCAAGCTAAAGGTTCAGCAATTCCACCTATAATTTTTCATAAAACTATCATAATGTTTAAGGTACTAAAAATATGAGCATTTGGATAAAACTGAAACACAGGTCATTAAAAAAGAAAAGAGGTCTAATATATGAAGATATTCAAATATACTTATTAATTTAAGCAATATAGTCTTACAAATATATTTTTGACCTATCAATTTAGCAAACATTTCTAAATACCAGAAGCTAAGCATCTACTAATAGGAAAATATTATGAAAATGGTGGAATATCCATATGATGGATTTATACAAGGTGGGGCAAAATCAGGTTTACAGTTGTGAGCATGCGAAACAGTTTATCTTTGTGTTATTTTCCAAGCAAACAACTGTAAACCTACTTTTACCCCCTCTGTATAACCATGAAATAGGGTTATAAATGATGTCAGAAAGTGATTAGAACAATGCCAACAGGAAAAAGATGGATAAAAACAGTTTATACATAGTACGAGCTCAAATCCATAAAATAAGATAATATGGAGGAAAATAAAAACATATTAATAATAGAATTCTAAGTTAAAAACAATGAGTGGTTTTTCTATTTTTCCTGCTCAGATTTTTTGCAATATATGTTACTTTCATAATCAGAAAAGATATTTTAAATGGTGAAAAGAATTTATCATCCCTGAAAAATTAACATGTATTTCTCAAATTCTAGAGGTTTTATAAATTCTATTAAGGATACATATATGCTAATCAAAATATTAAAAGTTTATGTTTGATAGGCTAATTAGCAACAATAAAATGAAATTTTGTTTTATAAATCACCAACTCATTTGAAGAGGGTTTAGTATTACTTATTATTATTGACCAGCACAGGGCTTTACACATTTTAAGTGCAATTGAGTTAAGTTAAATTATAAAGATATTTTACAAACACTAGCTGATCTTTTGAGAGAAGAAGCCTGAAACCATGATAGGTAAATGGAAGAAACAATGCTGAGGCCTTTAAAAAAAAAGTAAACACAAAAGTTGGTTTAAAAACAAAACAAATAGATTATAACAACAGGTAAGAAAAGATTTATGTCTGCATAATCTTAAAACTAAGAAAGTCTCAGGAACCCAAGAAAGCAAAATAGAAGTTTGCTGACAGCAATAGTCTTAGCTAAATAAATGGCACATGAGGAGCTTTCATAGTCGGTTTTGTTTCTCCTTTATTGATGTTGCACCCACAGGCATGTTGTAGTAAACTTAACTGGTGCTTACCTTGCCTTAGCTGTTTTAACTTCCCATTAACCTTCTTCCTTTCTATTCTTTCTCCTGGAGTTCTGTTTTCTGGGCATCTCACTACCTAGCTCAGAATCTCTTCTCCTTTTGGCTAAGAACAGATGGAGTTCTAAAAACTGACATTCTTCTGGAAGAACAGAAGTAATTACTTAGGCTCTCTACTCCCTCTCAACCCATCTGTGCCTTCGAAGGAAAATTTACCCAGGCAGGCTCCCTGGATGATGCAGTTTATACACAGGTATAATTCTGTGCATTTGTATAGTACTCTTTATTTTATGCAACACTTTCACACACGTCATTCCACATTGGTCTTGTGATGGATTTTAACATCTCCATGGTAGGAATGTAAGAACTAAGATTCAGAGAGGTGAAGAGACTTTCTCTTGGTTTAGACTAGGCAGCCAGCTAATGATAGGAGCAGGCCAAGAACCTTGGTTTCCTAATTCCTATCTAGGAACTATCATCATTGTACCAAGGGGTTCATATAAGTAAAAGAGCTACAAGTTGATCATCAGTGGTTTCTTTTTTCTCCTTCAGTGAGAACATATACAGATTGTTACCTATTGAATACTTTAGCACTGCTATGAACTGAACACTTGAATTTATCCAATATTCAAGCCTAAATTCTCAATGTATTTGGAGGTGGAGCTTTTCAGAGGTCCTGGGGGTAGAGCTCTCATGAATAGAATATCTAGGATCTCTAGATATCTATCTATCTATCTATCTATCTATCTATCTATCTATCTATCTATCTATCTATTTATCTATCTATCTATCTTGTCCTTCATGTGACAAAGCACCATTAAAGCAGCCTTCTATGAACCTGGAAGAGTTCTCTCACTAGATGCCATATCTGTTAGCACCTTTTAAAAATATATATATATATTTTATTGATTTTTTACAGAGAGATAGAAACATCTCTCTTTAAGGATAGAGAGTTAGAAACATCGATGAGAGTGAATCATCGATCAGCTGCCTCTTGCACATCCCCTACTGGGGATGTGCCCGCAACTAAGGTACATGCCCTTGACTGGAATCAAACCCGGGACCTTTCAGTCCACAGGCTGATGCTCTATCCACTGAGCCAAACTGGTTTCGGCTCTGCTGGCACCTTGATCTTAGACTTCCAACCTCCAGATCTGTGAGAAATAAATGTTTGTTGTTTAAGCCATCCAGTCTATTGTATTCTACAATTTACATTCTTTTATATACCTGGATATTTGATGAAGTATCCTTAAAAGTTGCAAGCCTTGGTACAGTTTAATCTCACAACCAATGTGAAAGAGAACCCATCAGATTCAAAGGAGAGAAGATGCATTTGTTGTCCCCAGTAATAAATGAGTAATCATTTATTGATTACTTGTTTTAAACAATTTCTGTGGTCTAGAACATCCAGAGAACTTCCCTGCATTGCCTATGCCATCCACCTCCACTGGAGATATGTGAAATTCACCAAGTTATTAATAAGATCATTCAGAAATCCATTGACTTGGGAGCACAGAACAAGCTTATGATATTGATAAAAATACAATGTTACTTCATCACCAAGTAAATTCAGTATAAAAAGCATCTGTGACTTTTGGTGTAGTGTGATCTATTAATTTCTACTGGATTCCAAGCCCCTCTTCTTTTCTCACATGCTTCCTTTTCCTCGAACTCTTATTTATTCTTTAGTTCTTCCTTTAAGAAAGCCATCCTCACCCTAGATGGTTTTGCTCAGTGGATAGAGCCTGAGGACTGAAGGTTCCTGGGTTTGATTCCATCAAGGCACATGCCCAGGTTGTGGGCTTGATTCTCAGTAAGGGGCATTCAGGAGGCAGCCGATAGATGATTCTCTCTCCTCACTGATGCTTCTATCTCTCTCTGGCTCTCCCTTCCTTTCTGAAATCAATTAAAAAATATATTTTAAAAAAAGAAAGTCATCCTCAAATCTTAAACTAGGATAAGACCCTGGTATGTGCTTCACAGGCATCATTATTTTTTCACTACACTTTTAATAATAATAATAATAATAATAATTTGCTCTATAATTGATAATCATCTATAGTTTGCTCTACTATTGCTCCTCTAGATTAGAAACTCTGTAAAACCAGGAATGTCCATTTTGTTTACCAGTATTATTCCAGTGTTTAAAATATAGGAAATCCTCATGTATTTGTTGACAAACAAAGAAAAAAAATTAATAAAATAAAAATCTAAAAACTAGAAATAAGATATGAGCATATTGAATTTAGCAATATATTAAGAACCATACATGATGTTTAAGTAGGACTTATTTTAAATATATATCTTATTGATTTTTTACAGAGAGGAAGGGAGAGAGATAGAGAGCTAGAAATGTTGATGAGAGAGAAACATCGACCAGCTGCCTCTTGTACACCCCCTACCGGGGATGTGCCTGCAACCAATGTACATGCCCTTGACCGGAATCAAACCTGGGACCTTTCAGTCCGCAGACCGACGCTCTACCGCTGAGCCAAACTGGTTTTGACAAAGTAGGACTTATTTTAGAAAATAAAAGTATTTTAGCATTTGAAAGTGTATTATATATTGCATTAATATATCAAAGGAGATAAGTTATCTACATAGACAGGAAAAGAAATTAGATGAAATTTCACATGCCTCCCAATTTTAAAAATACATCTAGTTTTTAGTAAACTAGAAAAAGGATGCTTTAACATAAAAGATACTTGAAACTAACATTATACCTAACAATGTAATTCTGGAGACAGGCTATCCTTTACCAGCACTGGCATGCAAATTTATTTTAAAAGCATTAGCCAATGCAACAAGGTGGAGGAAAAAAAATCAGAAAATGATGCACTTATATGTAGATTATGATTTTCTAGCTGAAAAACACAAGATCATTAACTGGAAATGTTTAGTTTGCAAATTTAGTAAGGTGGCCAGTTATAAAATACATGAACACATATTATAAAAGCAATATATTCAAAACAATGCAGGACTGGCTTAAGAATAGACAGATCAATAGAATAGATTAGAAAGGGGAAAAAAGGGCCTTAAAATTATTCCATATAAAAAATGACTATAAAACTGACCTTTGGAGACGTATTTAATTATATTGGGATATTAAGGGCAAATAGATTCTAATATGAAACCATGAGTTTAAATATTTCATTTTATACCTTTCCTTAAGGGGAGCTAGTGACTGTTTTCTATAGTTGCTATTTTCCCAAACACCACACCCTGCAGCCCCAGGCAGGCCTTACCGGCATGGTGATTTGGATGGGTTGTCGTTCTCCACTCTTGGTTGGGGCCACTCCTTCTGTATCATAGGTGCCCATGTAAACAATTCTTTCCCCGTCAGGTTCTTTCGACTTCAGCTCCAGGGGGACAACCACACCACCAATGGAGATGTTCCTGCAATGGACGTGAGTTGAGCACACATGGTAGGAATTAGCTTAGGTGCCCTTTCTTATCTTGACCACAACCCTAGGCAGGAAACCTACAGGGTGTAGCTAAAAACGACATTATGGTATGGTAGAAAGTTCTGAAAATTCAAGAGGCTTGAGTTCTCCAACTCACCAGTCACGTAATCTTAGACCAAACACATAATCTCCCTGGATGGGCAGTATTCTCATCTAGAATACTAGAACAAGGCCTAGTTAGACTTTAGCAGCAGTCCTCCTCTTTAGTGTCTCTTTTCTGGAGCTATTAAAAACCTACCTATACCCATCCTCATCCCAAACCCCAGAGAAGAATTCAATTGGTCTGGTTTGGATACTGGTAAATTTATTTAAGACTCACTAGGTGGTTCTAATGGGTAGGTAAGGTTGAGAACCACTAAACTAGTTCTCTCATGATTTTTCTGTTCCACCAATCAAGGATCCCATGAGTTGGGGTACTCTTCCTCATGCAGCTACAATACTAGACATTCTCACTGGCATCATTCTTTTGTTAGGGTAATGGCCCTCAAATAGTCCTGAGCTACCAATATCAGATCCATTGACAACCTATTAAAAAGCAAATTCTTAAGCCCCACTCTAGGGTGGGACCCAGTGTTTTAACAAGACCTCTAGGTGATTCTGATGTACACTCAAGTTCAAGAACCCCTGGGTTAGGACATTGAAATCCCCTTGATAAAATTAAGTTTTAACTAGAAAAAAGTTGTTTTGTCATGAACACAGACTCACTTGTAGATTAGCTTGAAAAATAGAGAGCTACCCTCAAGAAAATGGCGTAGAGAGCAGATAACTTGAAGGGGTTCCTTGGAAAGAGGGGAAAGAAAATGTGTCTGGATCTCATGGAGATGCACTAATAACACTGGGAAATGTGAGGACAATGGGTCCATGAAGGGGAGGAGGGAGGGGGAGAAGAGCTGCTGACAAATAGATGGGCCAGGAGCACCAGAAAAAACCGAGGTCTTAGGTCCTTGAATTAGGGCCTGCCACCTGAAAGCCAACACGAGTTTAGTGAATTAATGACTGCAGATGGACACTACGCTGAAGAGGTCTCTGGTGGATTCAAGCACATATACCCCCCCCCCCCCCCCCAACTCAGTATATGGTAGATGATATAAATACTGGACTTCCCATCAGGTTTAGGTGGAGGCTGAAAGGTAAGGGACCCCACCCCTGGATGCTTCCCCATAATCTATGAACCCTCCCAGCCAGGGGCCTACAGGGTGCAGCGGCTGGGGTGGCAGGGAAGAGATAATCCTGCCACGAGTAAACGGAAAAAAATAACCTCACAAAACCACATTTGTTGTTGTTGTGGTTGCTAATCCCAGGCGCCATCACCAGGCTGAACAGAAAACTCAGGAGAAACGGACAGACACCCGGCACGGGAAACCGGGGCACTTTAGGCCAAGCAGAGGAAGGAGGCTGCGCGCTGCCTGCGGCTGCTCCTCCAGCCCGGCGTCCAAGCCGCGGGGGGACAGATGGCGGAGTGGGGAGCGACCAGAACCACCCGGCCGCCGCCTTCACGCTCCACTCCTCAGCCTACAGCTCGGGGGCGGGCCGGGGCGGGACGCCGGGACGCGGGAGGGAGAGGAGGACCGGGATTGCGGAAGGTGAACCCCGCGGCGAGCTGCACCCTCTGCACCTCCCCGGCCGCCTGGGGATCCGCGCGGAGGCTGGACGGGGGAGGGGGAGGGGGATGAGACATTTACCGGTCAACCAACCAACTAACAAACAAACAAACAAAGCCAGCCCCGAACCCCTGGCTTCCTGTCTCTGTTTTCAACAACCCACCCCGCGATGGGTGGAGGGAAGCCAGAATAGAGGAAAGGCTGGGGGAAGGCAGAGAGGGGACCAATGGAACAGGGACTTCTGCGCCCCCCCAACCCCCCAACCCCAGCTCCGGGTCCCCCTGGTGCGGCGCGAGCCCGAGGGGCCCGGGAGGCTCCGGCGACCCGGGGCCTCTGTCCTCCGCGCGTACCCCAAGGGGGGAGGGTGGGGGCGGGCATCCTGGGCGCGCTCCCGCACTCACTCGACCTGCAGCGTGCTGGGCTTGATCTTCACCTCCACCTTGTAGGAGGAGCCGGTGAGCAGCTTGATGGTGCGGTTCTGGCCGAAGCGCTGCCCGTCCACCTTGTAGAAGACCGGGCCGTCGTTGGGCTGGATGCGCAGCGCGATGGAGAGGCGCACCAGGCCGGGCAGGTCCCCCATGGCTGGGCGCGGGGCGGCGGGGGGCGGAGGAGAGCGGAGGAGAGCGCGGGCGGTGACCCGGCGGCTGGAGGGCGGTGGGCGGAGAGGAAGCGCGAGTAAGGGGAGGAGGAGGAGGCGGGGGGAAGGCTGCCGTTAGGAGCCCACGCCGCCGTCGCAGCTGCAGTCCGCAGGGGCTCTGGAGCTGCTCCCAAGGCTGTGGTCTCCCGCCCCACGGGGAGGGGAAGCGCACCTCGGGGACTGCGGCGAGGCTCCGAGTCTCCCCATGCCCCTCGCTCTAGCCTGCAGGCTACGGGTGGAGATCAGCGTGGCCGGGGGCGAGAGAGTTAATCCTGTTTACGCACCACAATCCCCTGCAGCTAGGGGAGAGGAGGGTGTCTAGGCTCCTCCTAGGGCTGCGCGGTTTTGGTCGATGGAGGGGATTGGGAGGAAGGGGTGACATCCAGAAGCGACACCTCAGACTGTGGGTGCCTCCTCGGCCAGCAAAAGGGATGTGCGCACCATTTATGGGGTCCCAGGGAGGCAGGGGGAGGCTGAGAGGCGAAAGGGAGACTGGGAGCGAGCAAGGACAGGGAACCGCTAGCCAGTGATTTAAGTGCCAGGAAATAGGAGTCTCTCGGAAGCGGAGGCGAAATGGCCGAGGAAAGGCGCAGTTCCTTCTCCTGTGGACTGCCAGCTGCACTGGATTCGGAATGTGCGTGAGAAAAGAGGGAAAGATGGAGAGAAAGAAAATAAGCCATGCACAAGGAGGTACACCTTCTGGCGGTGTATGTTTGAATTGTGCATATCTTTGTCTCAAGAATGACACGGTAATGAATCACACACACATATTTATAGTTCTGGATGGGTGAGCTATTAACCCTGTCAAAGGCAACTGGCAGGCATATCTGAAAGGCATAGTTGGTGGACTATGTCCAGGAGGGATCCTCCATCAAAGATTATTGGCAGAGCACTTGGCTGGACACATTTGCATATGAAGTACGATTACAGAGACTTCCAGGCAGAAGTCGGTTGACAGATCCTGATTTTGGGAGCAAGCAGAGACCTGGGGATTAGGGCTGGATGGAGGATGATTTCAGAGAGCGCAGAGCGAGCTTCTGCTTCAGCACCACCCAGGTGGATAGTACCAGGCCCGGTGAGCACACCTGGGTGGTGGCAAAGCGGTTAGTGAGGACTAGTGGTAGGAACTAGTAGTAAAACTACTAGTGTTTGGTAGTTCCTACCACTAGTTTTAACTACTCTCATTCCAGAGTTGTTTGCAATATTCCCTACATTATTCTGAATAGTGTTATACTGTGTAGAATTGCAGAATTTTGTATGATTGCTTCCCTGACACTGGATAGATTTGCTGATCGCACCATAGTTGCTTATGGTGTGATTGTTTTTTAGTTTCTCAACAAGACTCTGCCTCTTCAGATCATCAAATAATGTCTATCATAGTGTCTTCTCCACAGGGAACCTTCAAGTATTTGCTAATTTAATCAGCTTGTCCCCACTTGAAGGGAGGGAGCCAGACTGGATGGAATAGATTGAAAGTGTTCCTGGCAGCGGAAGCAGTCTGTGTAGTTGTCCAACCCAGAAGCACTACAGTCAGACTTGTTAAAAATCCACACTCTTCCTCTTCCTCTGTTGTGTGACCTGGGTTCCATAATTTCTGGGAAACAGTTTTCTCACCTGTAAAGTGGGCTGGGGAAGCAGATGCTAGCTCTCTGATAGAGTTGTGTTAAAGAACAAACGAGAGATGCACAGTTCAGTACCTGGCTCCAATATTGGCGATCATTATTAATTTGAAACCCAAAGAGCAGTAGACATAGGTAAGGATGCTCAGTCATTCCTAGGAGAAGAGCTAGAGGGATGAAAATTAAATCAGTAACATCAAAACTATTTTGGCCTATCAGCTTGGCAATTTTTTTCACTATATTTGTAATTAGTTTTATTATAAAGGATTCCAATTAGGAGGACCAGCAGAATGAAGTCACACAAAGGGCGAGGTCTGGGAGGAAACACAGAGTTGGCAAACACTGTAAATACTAAACTTCAGTGCTGGCAAGATGTAGCAAAGTCAGTCCTGTTATACACTGGAGAAAAATACAACTGCTATAACCTTTTAAAAAATTTATATATTTTTTATCAATTTTTTACAGAGATGCAGGGAGAGGGAATTAGAAACATTGATGAGAGAAACACCAATCAACTGCCTCCTGCACACTCCCTATTGGGTATGTGCCTGCAACCAAGGTACATGCCCTTGACTGGAATGGAACCTGGGATCCTTGAGTATGCAGACCAATGCTCTATCCACTGAGCCAAATTGGTTAGGGGTTCTATAACCTTTTACTAGAAGTAATCTGAGGAATTTATTGAAAGCTTAAAATTATACATATATATCCCTTGAGTCAACAATCCTACTTTTTAAAACCTACCCTTCAGAAGAAATAAAGGCATCATCACCCTGAATATGTGTAATATGGGTACTCATTGCAACATGGATAACAAAAATCAAAACAAAGAATAAACTAAATGTAAAAAATAAATGGCTAAGTTTTTACATGCCCATACTATACAATTTAAGTGACTTCCTAAAATAATAAATTATATGTTATATTGGCAAACACATATGCTAACACTGTTACTACACTGTGGTAAACTGGGAAAGTCCAAGGGCAGGCATTTTTTGTCTGTTTTGTTCATTGCCATATCCCCAGTCCAGTACATGGTAGTGCTCCATAAATATTTGTTGAATTGTGTGGGAAGCCACCGCTTTCCCAATACTGTCGTCATAAGAGTGCACCAAGGAATGCAGAAGGCCGGTGGACCTTGGACTTAGCAGGGCTGTGCTGAGATAGTGGTGGCTCGAAGCAATTACCTGACCTGATAGCCTCAAAGTAAATGTTTACTCATCTTTACTGATCTTTATTGACCTTTGAGACGGTCTGTCTGCTACCTGTTTGTCGTGCTTTACTGAGGGCAAGATGTGTATCTAAAACTGAATAAAAAGCAGACCAGCCAGAATTTCGGTGTGTGCTCTTCATGAAAGAGACATCCCTAGCCCCCAATGCCTTCTAAATTCACATTTCTTGTACAGCCTTTTCATTTGTGCATCCGCCCCTTCTTCAGATCCATATGAACATGTTGTAAATATGAACATATTTACAACAAAGATAGGAATTCAATTTTCCCGCAAAGCCATGCAGGTTGCGGGAAAATTGAATTCCTATCTTTGTTGTAAATATGTTCATATGGAAATTCTTTTATGTCTTGAAAAATAATTAGTTAGATCTATATGATTTACCTGGAATAATGTAAAGAGAAAAATCTAATTATAAATAATATCTGTAGCATGATAAAAATTTAAAACCATATTAATTTGTACATATTTTTATTAATTTGAAAAAGCATTAGACATACACAGCAATGGGGATGGAAAGATAATTACTTTAGTTTTTCAGAATTACTTTAGGTTTTTTTTGTGTTTTTTTTTTGAAATTTTACTTTTTTTCCTCTCTTTTTGATCAGCAGTCCCTAAAGTCTCAAACCAACTTCTACCTGTGTATTGATGAAAGTTTTGGACGAGGAGTGAGATGACTTCAGTTTGAATTGTTTTCTTTATGCAAAGCACTTGAAATATTTGTATTTCAATTTTTATTGATGTAGAATGGGAATTAAAATGCGTCCTTCTCAATGTAGTGAGAATTAAATGAAGAAATTAAAAAATGTTTTTAAAAAATTGCTTTTCAAATATGAGATGTTACTAATGCTAGGCAACATGCATTATTAAAAACATATTCAGAACCATAAAATGCAACTTCTTAAAATGAAATTAATAAATGTAAAAGTAACTGGAAAATTTCTCATCATTGGTACAAATATGCAACAAATCTGGGTATGGAGCCGAATGGACCTATATTTACATCTCAGTTCTGCTGAGTACAAGCCAGGTGACCTTGAGCAAGATAAGCTATGTAGTCTCTCCAGGATCCAGTGTTTTCATTAGTACAATGATGATGGGAACATATATAATGCTCATAGAACCAAATGAGATAACATAAAACACAAGAGTAGTAGTTACATATAAGCTCAATACATTGTGGCTATTTCTGTTCACTTGAAAATATACTTACTATATTTTTAAGGTATCTAGTGTTATTAGCTCAAATTGATGGCCTTAAACACTGTCTGTCAGCAGGGCAACCATTATTATCATTCTTTTGGAAATTAGGAATTAGGCTAATAACATTCCATGTTCACTGTTCCAGTCTCTATGGTAAATTCATATTATAGACTTTAAAAAGTTATAAGTATTATGATATGGGACATTGTGTGTGTGTGTGTGTGTGTGTGTGTGTGTGTGTGTGTATACATACAGGAGTGGGCAAAAGTAGGTTAAATACCAGCCATTATTACCTAAAAGATAAATCGTAAGTAAGGATAGAAAATAATATAAATAAATAATACTATAACTAATAAATACATAATAATATGAGTAAATTCCTGTGTATTCACAACTGTAAACCCACTTTTGCCCACTCTTGTAAATGTAAAAATCCAAACCCAGCACATTTTACTCTCTTTTTCATTCTTTCTGTCCCCTAGGAGTACAGTTTTGGATAGAATTTTTAATGATCTCTTAAAGTTTATTTTACATTTAGAGTTCTTCAATCAAGTAAGAAACAAATCAAGTAAAAGAAGACAGAGCGCCTGGGTGTTTCTCACATCCTGACCTCTCTCTCCATCCATCATGCACATATGTGCCCACATGCTCAGATGCCTCAAATATCCTCAAACTTAAACAGAATATACAGTCTCAATCCTTCTCTAAATGTATTTAAAGTATTGGTGGACATTATGAAATTCTCAAGCTCTGAAATCACAAAATACAAGGAGACAATTTCCTGCTAATGTCAACTGGTTTGGCACCAAGCTTGTCAGGATCATAAAATTGGCTTTATAATATTCTTCTCCTTCTCAATTTCTTTTCCTTCCTTATGCTTTACAAAATGTCC